CCAGCCAGTACACCTTGAGAAAGAGGGTGTAGCATATGTATGAATGGATGCAGAGGGTCTGCCACATGCTGGCTGGCATCTTCATTCATTCATCACAGTCTGTCCAGTTGCACAGTCTGTAGGCAACAAGGCAGGTTACTCTAAGCACCAGGAAAGCCAGGCTTAAGTTTAAAGTAGTAGAGCTACTGTTTCTGGGGTGTTCTCTGGATCTTTGTAAGTGGAGGGGGATTTCTGTGCATCTACAGATGCAGGGTGAGTCTCGATGGCACCGGTGTGGTGCAGTAAGGTTCCCTGAGCATCCTGCACCTCCTTTAGAGTGTTTCCACGTCAGAGTAACCGTCAGCAAAGGTAGGGCTGATTGGAACAGCTCCCTTGAGACCCTCCTCCTAACCACACTAGGTCTTCTCCTAGCAGCCTTCAGATGAAGATGTAGGACTCTCTCCAGGCCTGCCTGGACGCTGCCATGCTCCTGCCTTGATGATAATGGACTGAACCTCTGAACCTGTAAGCCAGCCCCAATTAAATGTTGTCCTTGTAAGAGTTTCCTTGGTCATGGTGTCTATTCACAGCAGTAAAACCCTAAGACAGTTACTTACAGGAGTAGAGGGTGACTCAAAGGTAGCTCACACAACCCGGGTGAAGACTCATGACAGCTGGGACCCGGGAACTCTGAGAACCTCCTCTGGGCCGCTGGGCTGCTCAGAGTCCTCCAGAGGTGACTCTGGGAGAGGATGCTTGTGGATCGAGCCAGTTTCACTTTCTCAGAAATGTGCTTGTTTACATCAGAGTCCAGCCTTCCCCCCCCCCCTCACCTCCTGGGGGATGTCTCAATATCTCTGCTGTCCAAAAAAGCTGCAAGCTCTGGGAAGATGGTGCTTTAGACGCGAGCTGACCGCGCTTCCCTGATTCACTGCTGTTGTTACCCTCACAGCTCTGGGTAGGCTGCAATACTGATCAGGATATGTGGTTGCAGTTCCACAGATGGCCTGCAGGAGGCTCTCTCCTGGCCTCTGGAACTTGGTACTATGAGTACACCCACGTGATTTGAACAGGCCAAGGAAAACAGGGAACCACACCGCTGTCAAAAGCATACCTCTTTCATGACACCTCTGAAATTGTTACAAGACATTTGGGAAATCCTAGGTCAGAAATGACAACCTTTAAAGAATTTATCATTAAAGCCGGTCAAGGTGTTATTAAAACCTTGGTGTGGTGCCCATGCCTTTAAACCCAGCACTAGAGTGGGATGGGGACAGAGGTAGCAGGTCTTTGGAGTTCTAGGTCACCTGGGCCAACACAGGGAGTTCCAGGACAACTGGAGCTACACAGAACCTTGAAATATATATATCTCATATATAGTGGCAGAGCATTGAAAAACCCAGCTGCCATGATGACAAACAACTGCAAAGCTTGCTTGCATCTCAGTTGCTGTCAAACAACGCGGCTTAGATTCTTGCTAGTGGCCCGGGGCTCTGAGCATGTTCCCCAGGTCATTGTGAGCACAAGACAGCTCAGGACCATTCCGAAGAGCAGAGACAAGAGCACACACACACACACACACACACACACACAGACAGACACACACACGTCACCGGATGCTCCCAAGGCAGCACCCAGGATAAAGCCACTGTCAGTGAGCTTGTATCTGAGATCCAATTCTGGTGGATAATGCTCAGTTGCTGACTGCAACTGCATACTTTCCTTGTAAGCATTTGCCAGATTTGAAACAGGCTTCTGCCAGAAGGGGGTTCTGTTTAACTGGCAGGGAGCTGAAGTGAGCAGGTCTGTCCAGCCTTCGAGTGTGTAACGAAAGCGTGTAAATGAAAAGAATAAAAGCCCATGGGCATTGTTAGCTCTTGCTTCCAGGGAGGCCTGCAGTCTCTCAGACACCTCATAATCTACTATGTGGTACTCAATAACTATATATATATTTTTAATTATTTATTTTATGTATGTGAGTACACTGTAGCTCTTCAGACATACCAGAAGAGGGCATCGGATTCCATTATAGATGGTTGTGAGCCACCATGTGGTTATTGGAAATTGAACTCAGGACCTCTGGAAAAACCATCAATGCTCTTAACCTCTGAGCTATCTCTGTATCCCAATAATATATATTTAAATTATTTTTATTTCATGTGGATTGGTGTTTTGTCTACATGTATGTCTGCATGAGGATGTTGGAGTCTCTGGAACTGGAGTTTCAGACAGGTGTGAGCCGGGGTGTGGGTGCTGAGGCTTGAACCTGGCTCCTCTAGAAGATGAGCCAGTGCCCTTAACCACTGAGCCATCTCTCCAACCTCTGATTTACTCCTATGTACATGGGTGTTTTGCTTGCACACACATCTCTGCACCATATGCGTGCAGTATCCATAGAGCAACATTATCCACAGAAAACACTATCTGAATCTTTTTTTTTGAGACTTTAAATCGTACTTTATGTATGAGCACTTTGACTGTATACTTGTCTGCGTACCACGTGTGTGGAGTGCCCATGGAGGCCCTAAGAAGGCGACAGACCCTCCCCTGGAACTGGAATTACAGATGGTTGTGAGCTGCCACATGTGTGCTATGAACCAAACTCCTGTCCTCTGCGAGAGCTGCCAGTGCTCTTAACTACTGAGCCATCTCTCCAGCCCCAGTTCGTTTTTAGATAGATCCGGGGCTCCTTAGCACCTACTGCAGCCGCCACCTGCAAGAAAGTTTCTAGAGATGACTGGAAGAGGGCAGCAGCTGTATTGGTGTTTTGGAAGTATTAAGGGGTTGCCTTCACTCTCTAGGGCTTTTGTGGACACTGTACTGTGTGAAAACCAACCTCACAGTGACATGTCTCTGTAGAGGTTTCTATTACCGTGATAAACACCATGACCAAGGAAACTTGGGGAGGAGGGAGTTTATTGGGCTTACACTTCCACATCACTGTTCATCACTGAAGAACGTCAGGACAGGAAGTCAAACATGGCAGGAACCTGGAGGCAGGAGTTGATGCAAAGGCCATGGAAGAACGCTACTTACTGGCTTGCTCAGACTTCTCTCCCAACCCTCAATCTCTACCACTGTGATTTTTCGAGACAGGATTGGGTTTCTCTGACAGCTCTGGCAGACCAGACTGGCTTTAAACTCACAGAGATCTGCCTACCTATGCCTCTCAAGTACTGGTATCAAAGGCATGTATCTCCACATCCAGAAGTCAGCCTTTCATTTTTTCCATTATTCACTTTGCAGCTCGCACTCTGTATCCTTTAAGTCCCCCTCACACATTCCTTCCCCCTCCCCCCTCCCCTTTTCAAGAATGTGCTCAGTCCTGCTTTCTTATAGAACCCAGGACCACCAGCCCAGGGAGAAGGGCTAGGCCCTTCTCCATCACTCACTAATTAAGAAAATGCCTTACAAGCTTGCCTGCAGCCCAAACCTATGGAGGAATTTTCTTAACTGAGGCTCCCTCCTGTGATGGGCTTAGCTGTGTCAAGCTGACATATAAAACTATCCAGCACACCTGACTGGGCAAAGGGAACTCTAAAGGTAATTGTCTTCAGTGGAGAAACCTAGCAAGGCTTCAAGTCTTCTGGCTTTCGCTGTGAACATCCATCCCTTCCCACCAGGATGGGGCAGCCAGATCTCTTCAGAAACGAGGATCTCAGGAGCAGAGGGCTAAGCAGCAAGAGTACTTGCAGAAAACCCAGCTTTGATGCACAGCACTGAGTCAGGTGGCTCACAGCCCTCTGTAACCCGCTCCACGGGAGCCCTCTAGTGCCCTCTGCTGGCCTCCACAGGCAATGCACATTTAGTACATTTAGATAGATGCTGTCAAAACTAGTACACATACAATGAAATATTCTGAAAATTAAAAGGAAACGGAGACTGAGGCGTTTGACCATATGTAAAGGCAGTTTGGCCTGATGAGAGATCCCGACTGTGGGAAAGCTCTTCTGTGCAGAGACCATCCTTCTCTTTGCTAACCCAGGGAGACATAGAGAGGTGCGGCAGGGGCACTGAAGGGGAGACTTTTGCTAATACCTTTGAGCAGGGGCAGCTGCTCTTTCCCAGAAGGCCTGCGCTCTGGGGCATGTCTTTCTGAAGACATCCATTTCCCCCAGTGACCCAGAGTAATACCACCGACCCCTTCTGAGCCACGCCCACCCACATGGCCTCCCTCACAACACTTAGTGCTGAGGCTGGAGGTACAACTGCAGTTGTGTGGATCTGAAATCTCAAACCAGCAACACAAGTTCCAGTCTCTGTCAGGCCAGACCGGGCGGGGGCCCACGCGGTGCCTTAGCGATGCCTGACCCTGAAGAGCAATTGAGGTCTGCACTGAGTGCAGCAGTGCAGGCCGTGGCTGTGCTGCAGTTACTTCCACCTCCCACCTCCTGCTGTTGCCCCTCGGGGATCCCAGCCACACTGCCAAGAACCTCAAGATAATCCTAGAACAGGCCTGCTCCACAGACACAGATCCATGTCTGAGCTCATAAGCTACCTAGGCTTCACATACAAATTTCTGAACTTGAGAACAAAACGAGAAAGTGAAAACAGGCCAGACCTCTCCCACAGCTTCCAAGGCTTCTGGGCCCTGCCCTGGTTGACAGTCTTTAATCCCAGCCAGGGACTCCAGGCTCTTTGCAGAGCTAAGTTTGCAGGTGTGTGTGTGTCTGTGTGTGCGCTCACGCAGATGTGTGCTCACCCTTGGGTGGGCTCTACCATGCCCCCACTTAGAAGGGCAGGATGCCTAGGGGGCACAGGCCCTCATATAAGAAATCCAGCTGAAGGAGACAAGGGACCAGGACATGGAGCTTGCTCTTTACCTCCCGACTCCCAGCAGTGCCCCAGCCTCACATCCACAGCCACTTTAGAAAGTGAGGGAAATCAGGAAGAGAAGGCAGCTGGGAAGCCACAGGCTCTTGGGTGTGGACCCTACCTCACTACGACCCTGCTGCCCCACAATAGAGCTCACAGCCCTCAGAGTGATCCTGGTTCAAGCCCTAAACAAAGCAACTACAGACACCACAGACACAGCTATTTTACTCTTAGTTTTGTTAAAAAAACAAAAACAAACAAACAAACAACTCTGATAAATCAGGACTAGGTTTAGGAGTGGTGGTGACAGAGAAGCATAGACAGGGTGGGCCGAGGCGTCAGGGGTGGCCACTAGTGTTTCCTCCTGACCCCTGTGTCCTCTTCTACAACAGACTGCCACAGTCCAGAGTGGATGAATCCTCTACCGTGTCTGCTCAACTGAAGAAAAAACAGTCAGTTACAATAAGATACAAAATGGGAAAAACACACACACGAAGGCATCACTCACTGTAGGAGGGAATGTCAATCTCATGTGGCAGCTCACTGATGTTGACCTCAAAATGGTCTTGCACATCATTCACGATCTTGGCATCGTTCTCGTCTGACACAACCGTGATGGCCAAGTCCTTGGTGCCAAACCGGCCCACTCTGGCCACCTGGAAGGAGAAGGGGAAGACTTCAGGCCTCACAGGGAAGACAGAGGAGAGGAAGGTGCACAGCACACAAACAGGAAGTGGGGTGAGGGTGGGGAGCTTACCCTGTGCAGGTAGGTGTCTGAGTCCTCTGGCATGTCATAGTTGAAAGCGATGTTCACACGCTCAATGTCCATGCCTCGGCCAAACAGGTTGGTAGCCACAAGAATCCTCTGCTGAAAATCCTTGAACTGCTGATACCGAGAGCCTTTGTGAGAGAAAATGAGAGGCTTGAGACTCCTTCTCTCCACACCACTTCCCCCTCAGGAAAAGATACAGACACACGGACAGACACACACACACAAGGACACATGGCCACCCGCCTGCCCACCTCTAACCTACCTCTCCTCCTGGGGCATCCCACGGTGGATAGCAATGGCTGGGAAGTTCTGCTCCACTAGAAGCTGGGCCAGGGCGATGCAGTGCTGCACGACTTCACAAAGATCACCACCTGAGGGAGCACGGGCGTGATGTGTGTACACCACCTGAGGGAGCACAGGCGTGATACATGTACCAGCTTTCCACAATCAGACTCAGGTGTATGGGCTCTGCCTGCACACGTACCTGTGCATGCACGCCTGGTGCCTGTGGAGGCCAGCAGAGGACACTGGACCCTCTTCTTCCTCCAGCTGTAATTACGTGATTAGCTGCTGACATAGGCATTGAGAATTGAACTTGGGAATTCCTGGAAGAACAAAAGTGCTCTAAACTCTGAGCCACATCCCCAGCCCCAGAAATCTCACTTTTGAAGTTTTTAAAATCTATGTCTGTGTGGTTATGTGAATGTATGACATGTGTGCACGGCTGCACTTTCAACAGTGTGTTCAATCACCCAGGACAGGTGCTATGCACTCAACGTGCGTCCTCTGGAAGAACAGAAAGTTTGAGACATGGTTTCTCTATTACCCCTAGTTGACCTGAAACACATTATGTAGACCAGGCTAGCCCCAAACTTATATTCACAGAGATCCACCTGTCTCTGTCCAGCACTTGGGATTAAAGATGTATGCTAACA